CTTGGCTCCACAGTCAACACTCTTGTTATCCACAGCCAGGAAATCAAAAGACTAATTGCATTGGGAAAATCTGTTGTCAGGGACGCCCACCAGAGTACTGAAGAGTAACAATGTCAATCTAGAGACTACGGTGCACCTGAACCAAGCCATGGTCTTCTTAATTACTTGCTATGCATCAGAGAGCTTGACAATGATGAAAGACGGTAGAAGAAGAATCAATGCTTTTGAGATGTGGTGCTGGAGAAGAGTATTGAACACACCATGGACTACTAAGAGAATGAACAGGTCTCTCTCCTGAAGCAGGTAAAACCAGGCTACTCCATGGAGGCAAGGATATTGAAGCTCCACCTCACATACTTTGGGCATATTGCCAAGAGAGATCAACCCTTGGAGAAGGACATCGTGTTTGGAAGGGTAGAGGGACAGCGCACCAAGCATGAAATGCATGAGATTGATGAATCTGGGTTAGATGGATTGACTCATTGGTTTGGGTCATGGGAGCAGGTGTGTCAGAGACAATGAAGCTGGCTCAAGACATAGCAGGGTTCACAGCTGCTGTTCAGTAGTTGTGAGTTGCAAGTGACTACGGCACATGCCATCACCACCACCTGGAAAATAATTTGTTATTGTTATGTACCCATAATTGACCCTCCAGTGGGCTTTCAGTGGCAGTTATTTGCATTGGAGGAGATTGCTCTTATTTCTCCTGTAAAGTGTAGATTTGAGATTTGAACCATGTATGTTCAGGTTGGCAGCACAGCTCCTTACCACTAGGTCACCAGAACTTCAGAGACAGCAACTTAAAGGAACTAAGTGGAACTGAGTGTGGGTTTTACTAGAGGAAAACATTTGCTTTGTGTGTTTCTGACCTAACACCTTCCCTGAGATATAGCTTTGACTGCCCTATCTCAAGAGCAAGGTAGTTCAAAGAATATGCTCTGGAACAAGATTTAATTCCTGGCTCTACCACTTACTGTATCGAAAGAGACAGTGGGATTGGCACAGGACAGAGCAGAGTTTAGGGCTGTTGTACATAGGGTCGCTATGAGTTGCAAGTGACTCGATGGCACATAACAACAACAACAACAACAACAACCACTTACTGGTTATGTGCCTGTTGACATATTCTCTATGTTGTTTTCTGACTCCAGCTCATTGCACATTTCATTGTAATACTTCACTTTGTCTTCCCGCACTGCCCTCTGGAATCTTCTGTTTAGCTCCTCAGGATCTTGATTTCTTCCCTTTGCTTTGGCTTCTTGGCGCTCCAGTGCAATATTTTGAGTCTTTTTTTTTCCTCCTCTGTCTTTGAAATGACCTTTTGCATTCTTCCTGTATGATATTCTTGAAATCCTCCCACAGCTCATCCAGTCTTTGCTCATTAATGTCCAAAGCCTCAAACCTTTTCCTGAGATGGTTTTGAAATTCATATGGGATAGACTCAAGGTCAAATTTTGGTTCCTGTGGACTTGATTTCATTTTCCTCAGCTTCAGCTTGAATTTGCATATGAGTAGTTGGTGGTCTGTTCCACAATTAGCACCTGGCCTAGTTTTCACATCTGATATTGAGCTTCTCCAGCTACTCTTTCCACAGATGTAACCGATCTGATGCCTATGCATATCATCAGTCGAAATCCATGTGTACAGCCTGCACTTCTGTTTCTTATAAAGGGTATTTGCAATGAATAAATCATTGATTGTGCAAAATTCTATCATTCTATCTCCAGCTTCATTTCTGTCACCAAGTCCATGTTTTCCAACTGCTGATCCTTCTTCTCTATTCCCAACTTTTGCATTCCAGTCACCCATTATTATTAATGCATCTTGATTGCATGTTCAATCAATCTCTGCTTGGAAAAGTTGGTAGAAATCTTGTTTCCTCCTCTTTGGTCCTGGTTCTTGGTGCATCTATTTGAATTATGGTGGTAATTACTGGACTTCCTTGTAGTGTATGGTTATTATCCTGTCACTCACAACATTGTATTTCAAGACAGATCTAGAAATTACTTAAGTATGAAAGCAACCCCATTTTTCCTCACCTTTTTGTCTCCAGCATAGTAGACCATATGATCCTCTGACTCAAAATGTCTCATGCCAGTCCATCTCATGTCACCAATACCTACTATGTCAATATTTATGCATTCCATTTCCTTCTTAACAATATCCAATTTTCCTATATTTAGGATTCTACTATCCCATGTTCCACTCACTAGTGTCTGCTTACAGCTGTTCCTCCTTCTACATGTTTCCATACTTGAGGGCTCAGCCTCAGTTGCCTTATTTATCTGCTAGTCTAAGTGTGCTGTTATAAATAGGGTTTTCAAAGGCCTGCTATTTCAGAAGTGGATGGTCAATCCTTCCTTGTGTGTCTTAATTTCATTGCTCAGATTTAGAACATTATCTGCTGTGTGTGTAGAATTCAGGGTTTTTAAAAATATTTTTATTGATTTTCATACAATACCTTTACAGGATGTTTCATTTATATATATTGTGTTTTATACAATTTTTCATTTACAGTAAACCCCATAATCTTGAGTGTGTTTCTGTGTGAAGCTACTGCAATGGATTTCATACACAGTAAGTAGTCCAGTTTTGTTGAGTACTGCAGTGTTGGAACCAACCCATAGCTGACCCTCCAGCTTGTTTTTAGAGGTAGTAAATTGCATAGGAGGAAAATGCCCATGTTTCTCCCACAGAGCAGCTGATGGATTAAGATAGTATTGCTTTGCAGTAGGGCAGTAGGATTCATATTCAAGGTTAGTAGAAATAGGCATGGGAGTATGGAGGACATATCTGATCTCATAGGAATTAGTTTTGTATGGTGGATGTTGTTGATGGGGTCAGTTCCTCCTTGTGGAGTCGGTAGAGGTCAGAATGGCTGTCCTCATATTGTCCTTGTTCTTTTAACAAAGACTCATCAACAATCTGTGTTATGCAGATGACACGACCTTCTTTGCAAAAAGGACTTGAAATGTTTGCTGCAGGAGATCAAAGATGACAGCCTTTAATATAGACTACATCCCAAAATCAAGAAAACAAAAATCCTCACTCCCAGGTTAATACACAACATCATCATAGAAGAAATAGTTGTCAATGATTAAATCTTGCTTGGATCCACAATCGACACCCATGGCACCAACAACCAGGAAATCAAAACAGGTATTGCATTGGAAAAGTCTTCTGTCAGGGACCTCTCCAAAGTTCTGAAGATTAATAATGTCAGTTTGAAAACTAAGGTGTTCCTGATTCAAATCATGATCTTTTCAATTACTTGCTGTGCAGTAATCAATAAGGATGACAGAAGAATCATTGACGCCTTTGCATTATGGTGTTGGAGAAGAATGCTGAATATCCATCCCATGGACTGCCACAAGGAAAAACAAGTAAGCTTGGAAATGTTGAAGCCAGGGTGCTCCTTGGAGGCAAGGAGTTCATCTACATAGGCCCATATACTTGGGGCATGTTGTTAGGAGGGGCCTGTCCTTGGAACAAAACATGCTTTGAAAGGTGAAAGATCAGAGGGAAAGACGCTCAATGAGATGGATTGAGAGAGTGATTCTAACAGTGGACTCCAGTATGTCAGAGATAATGAGGCTAGCATACGATAGGGTTGCTGAGTGGTATTCAACTCCAGGCATTTAACAACTCTAGTATCTTAGTGGTAAGGAGTTGCAGCGGCAAAGTCAAAATAGGATGGAACCTCCAGCTGCTTGGCAGGAAAAAAGATGAGCCATCTCCTCCTGTGTCTCACTACCTCTGAAAATCCACAGCAGACAACTGAGTGGGTTCTTACTTGATGGAACATGATGACTGTTGAAAATTATATACATAGAAAAGCTAAATATTTCTTTTTCAACATCCATTTTCACGCGTAGTTTTTTACTGTACCCTCTAGCTTCCTTGATCATGTAGGGTTACTGCCACTTAATCATACAAGTCGTTTTGTATTCAAAGGAAGCCACGGAAAACTACTGAAATGAGAAAGAAACCAATAGTGAGTCAATCTGAGAGAAAGAGGGGCAGTCTCCTCTCTAACGATTTACTGCCTCTGAAAACCTGCTAAAGTCATCGGTCGGTTTCAATTGCACAGCATGTAACAATGAGTCAGCTATTTGAACAAAGGGTTAACATTTGATTTTGGCAACTAATGACTAACCGCCATTGTGAAAAGGCAAGTTTTGAAAGAATCACTGGATAAAAAAACCACTACTCAGATCTAACTTCTAAAACTATCTCACCAGTAAAGAAAGGCAGAGTATAAAAAGTGTCGCTTTATTTGGACTCATCAAACGGTTTGCAATAGAGTTCAGATCACTCCTTTTCTCTACTTTCAAGGTCTTGAGATTATGAAGAAAAAAAAACCTCTGCCCAGATGTCACAGATTCTGAAAGATTGCTTGCAACAGGACCAGAGTCTTTTCTAAAAGCGACAACTAAAGTGAAGAGTTGTCATTCCTTAAGTAACCAGCACGTTAACATGGACTGTTTAGCACTGTGGCACCTTGTTAGTATTAACTGCCAGATTTCACCCTTGGAGGACATGGTCCATTAGGAAAAGCATTGCATTTCCATATAGGTGGCAACATTTCATTTTAAGTGCCTTTGGCAAGGCTGAACAAGTGTTATTTACGGCCCGTGCCCGGACACACGTTGCCCATTTTATTTTCCACTCTGATCACCCTTCCACTCCGCAACGTTCAAACTCCGCCCACTGGGCTCAAATGTCCCTAGAACCAGAGATGCCGCCATTGCGACAAGTAAGACGAGCGTCCTGTAAAGCAACAGCAGCGGGGTCGTCCGCACAGGGACTTCCAAGTGGCACACATGCAAGAAAAGTCGCAGGAAACCCATCCCGACAGCTCGAATTAAAGCGCGAATAAGCCGAGAACCTCTTTAGCGCGGCGCCAGGGCGGAAGTGACGCAATCAGCAGGCGCGCGAAGGCGCCCCACGGGAGAGGGGGGGCGTGCGGGGGCCTGGGGGCGGGGCGGGGCCGCGGCTCCGTTTCCGGTGGCTCGTCGCGGTCGCTCCCTCCAGCTGCAGCCACTCTCGCCCGTGGCTGCTTCCTCCATCCTGGTATTTTTTGGAGCCTCCATCCTGGTTCTTCCAAAGTGCCCGGACCCAAAACAGGAAGTAAGTGCGATGGAACCTTCAGGTCCCAACCGCCGCCTGGGCCGCTCCGCCCAGTGGAGACTGCCCGGCCCCCTCGTCGCCCGCTTGCTCCCGCTGGCCACCGCCTGCTGCCGGCGCCCAGGCACCCTAGGCGGCGTCGCAGCCAGGCCTTCATGACGCTGAAATTGCTGTCCCCGCATGCTCGGGGGCCAGCGCTTCTCTCTCCTGAGCGGGTGGCAGCAGCGGCTCGGGCTGCAGAGTCAGGGAATGAGCGGCCGCTGACGGGGGCGGAAAATGGCGGCTGCTTCGGAGGATCTAAATGGCGCCGAGACCCCTGGGGGGGGTGGGGGGGTGGGCCCGGAGCTTCGACCGAATATTGGGCTGGGGCTCGTGCACAGTAAGCGAGCCACGTTTGCTCTTTCATAGTGTTGTATTTTTGGCGATCTTATCCGACTGCATTGTGGGGCTCGGTCAAGAAGAGATGGGGGTGAGTGATGGAGGCGGGCGGCGGTTCGTTCAGTCACCGGCCACCCTTTTGGGTTCCTCCTTCCCACTCACTGGCTGTTGGTCCAGACAGCGGATCGGGGACTCGTGACCGAACGGCCTCGACAAAGTGTTATTAAAGACAGCCGCAGATCGGCAGTTTTCGGGGAGATTCCTATCTGAGCAGAGCAAAGTAAAAGACATCTGTTAACGAGTAATTGTCCTATTTGTGGAGTTCCTGGGAAGTCTTTATTTAAAAAAAACAAACAAACAAACTTGTGTTTTTTAAAACTAAGACTTTGTTTTGAGGCTCCAGGGACTTTGTGTTTTCATCCCAGTCTCCACACTGAAGTCGGTGAGCGTAGAAGTAACCGAGATGATCCGTGTGTCATTTTAGACTTAAAAATGTTCGCTTTAGATGCAGGGAGGATAGTCTTGAAGTTAGCCTGAAATCCCTCGATTGCGTTCCGTTGTTGTTACGTGCGTGGTGAGGAGCCGCGCTGGCCCCGCCAGGGCCACGGTTCGAACCTGCCTGCCCTCTCCTGGGAAAACCCGCGGAAGGCGGTTGAGCGGCAGGTGGATTCGAACCCGCCTGTCTCTGGGTTGGCAGTCCAACATCAAACCACTAAAGCCATAGTGTTCTTAGAAGGTTAAATAGGTTTGGGTGGATTTTTTTTTTAAGTCTTTGTTAATTGTACGTTTTTTAGTTTTGATTTTTTTTTTTTAATTCCCAGAAGGCAGTAACTATTTCTTAAAATGAAGCATCTTAATTGATAATCAAGAATTAAGAAAAAAGGGGAGCTCTGGTGGCCTAGTGGCAAGAAGCTGCACTGCAATTCCAGAGGCGCATGGTTCAAATCCACCAGATGCTCTGCCGGGAAAGGAGGGACAACCTCCTCCTGTACCAGTCAGATCCGATTTGACGGTACCCACGCGCGCGCGCGCGCACACACACACATACACACACACACACTCACTCTAATAATAAGAAAAATGTATTCCATCGTGTTGATACGTTTTAAAACATAAAAACTACATTTTCTATTAAGGAATTTCGTATTTTCCTGGCATTTAAAATTTTTTCTTTAAATTTGTTTTCAAACCAACAGGGGTCAGGGGCGGTTTGATTATAGTGTTGTTTTTCCTCCCCTAATTCTTGAGTGTGGTGATAATACACCTAGACAGCTTTTTTACCGTTATGATTGGTTACCTTTAGTTAAGGTCTGGAAATCTAAGCTTTAGGAATACTACACCCTTTAACATTAGAAAAGTTGTCATGCTCTTTTAGAAAATAAAATTTGGTATGAGAATAAAGTTTTCATTTAAAGAAACCCGAAAGCAGCTTCATTTTAGAAGGCTAAGGGGAAGACTTGAGCCAAATATATTTCGTGGCTTGTGATTTTAATTTTATCTTATTTTACCCACATACTAGGTGCTTTTGTCTGCCATTGAACTAGCTAATATATTTTTTCACTATTTTAGTGATAGACTCGCCCCAGAATATGCATCTAGAACTTGTTCTCTGTGAATCTCTTTGGTTGCAAATGAGCTAGATGATGGAGCCAAAATGCTATTGCCCTGTCTTCAACAACATTTAATCAGTAAGTACTGGGTATTGCATACTTAGAACTTTATCTTCCTACTTTAAGCAGTTATATAAATAAGTATAAACCATGTAAGCATTTTTTTCTCTTGAGTGTTCAGGTTTTAGAAGTATTTTGAAAGTAATAGTCACAAAAAATTTGGGGTTATGACTTAAGCTTCTAAAGCAGTAAGGCTGGGAGATATATTACAGCAGAGAATCATATCAGAAGTAGGAGGAAGTGGTGGTTATGTGCTGTCAAGTTTATTACAACTTTCAGCAACCCTGTGGACTATGGATTGAACCTTATTCTGATCTGTGCCATTATCACTATCTCCGATATAAATGGGCCTATTGCTACAGTCACTGTGTCGGTCCATCTTGTTGAAGGTCTTCCTCTCCTTTGTGTCGCCATTCTTCCACCTTTCCAGGCATTGTGTTCTCCAAAGATTGGCTCCTTCTAATTGCATACACCATGAGTGTGAGATGAAGTTTCACTGTCCTTGCCTCCAGGGTGTACCCTGGTTGCACTTTCTCAAAGATAACTGTTCTTTGTGTAGTTCATGGGATGGTCATACTCTTCACCACCACAACTTAAGAGTCCTCGATTCTTCTTCTATCTTTATGTACTGTCCAACTCTCCGGTGCATAGCAGGTGCTATGAAAAGACCATGTCTTGACCCTGGCACATCTTAGTCATTAAATTGACATCCTTGCCCTTCAGCTCTTTGGAGATGTCCTTGACACCAGCTTTTCCCAGTGCCACACATCTTTTGATTTCTTGACTGATGGTACCAAGGGGTTGATTGTGTGTCTAAGAAATTGTTGACTGTTTCAGTCTTTTTTCCATCTATAATGATGAGTCTGTTGGCCCAGCCATGAGGATCCTTGTCCTCTTGTTACTGAATTGTAAACTATATTGAAGGCTGTCATCTTTTATCTTCTGCTGCAAATATTTTGAATCTTCAGCAAGCAAGGTTTGTGTCATCTGCATAATGCAGATTGTTGATGAGTTTTCCCTCAATCCAGATGCCACATTTTTCATTCAGTGTTCGTCTTCCCTACTAGAAAAAAGAAAAAAAACCCTCTCTTTTATTATATAGGCTGTTTGATTTTTAAAATGGCAAAGGAAAGTAGTTATATCATTCTACACTAGGAGTGCTTTGACTATTGGGGTCACAGTAAGTGTATTTGTAAGATTAACTAGGTATTAATATGTAATCCAAAACCAAGCTTGCCTACAATCTCCCTATGAAATCCTTATGTTGTTCATTTGGTCACTCCAACATCTATACAACTTGGTTTGTATTGGTTTATGGCATAGTCCGTAGCATGTTGCACTGCTAGCTAAATGCCTGTGTCTCTCGTCATTGTCCAGAGAACTATGGCCAGCCTCCTCTTACTACATACAGCCTCCAAAATCTGATGGAGGAACTGACTCAGGGAGTGAATGAGTGACAGTAAACTTATGAGTCCCACAATTTCAAGATTTCATTATTCTGAACAATTGCTTTTATCATATTCCACTAAGTACATTGGTTTAAATGAACACTTGTGAGGATGAATAAAATGTGCTGTAGAGATTTACAGCCTGTCACGCAGACAAATTTAAGCAGCTAAGAAGTGTATTTTACAGTATCATAGGTCCTAGAACCTTGTATTAAATACACGTATCTGTTCAAAAGATGTCAAAACTTCAGAATAGCTAAGCAAAGAAAGATTTTTGCCATGTCCTCTCCACCATCCCATTGCACCCCACACACCCAGTTTACAGAATTCCCTGGGAATTGATACTTTTGAGTGGTTTACATTTCATCTTTGACAGACTTTTCTGCTGATAGAAAATTATCTGAGAAAGTTAATTTATTGGTTAGCATTAAGTAACAGGCAATTGTCAAACCTATGTGATGTTTGTTTTCATATAATTTCTGCCTTTATATCTTCTGTGAAGAAAATTTTTATAATGTAAATCACAAATTACCTTTTGCATTTACTTTGATTACATAAAAGTAAATGAGGAATGATAGCCATTGAATATGAGGGGGAAAGTCCCTGGAGGGGAGGTGTACACACAGATTTTTTTTTTAAATTGATTATTTTTTTGTGTGTGTGTACCATCAAATTAGATCTGACTGATACAGGAGGAGATTGTCCCTCCTTCTTCAGAGCATCTGGTGGATTTGAACCACATACCTCTGAGATTGCAATGAAGCTTCCTGCCACTAAGTCACCAGAGGGGCGCCCCCCCACACACACACAGAGATTTTTATACATAGTGTGCATGTGTGATCCTGGCTTTAGTATTTTGGTTTTGTGTCCTTTGAAAATATTACCATTTTTCTTGTCTCTTAGCAAAGCTAACCAATCTTTTACTTAGCTACTCATTGCTGTGGAATGAATTCTAACTTAGCTGATACCTGGTTGGCTTTCTTGGGTTGTAAAATGCATGAAAGAGAAGGACTATCCATCTTCCTCCCTCTGAAAGACTGGTCGATTTCCGTTCCCAGAGAAGTGCAGCTTTGGGTTAGCAGTGCAGCTCTGTTCTAACTATTCCACCAGATGGTGTTATGCAGAAGGAGAGGGAAAAGCCTACTCTGGGGCTTTTTTGGTTTGGTTTGGTTTTTTCCTTTCACTGATCCATGTATTTTAGTATCTGCTGAGGACATAGGTTTTAAAAAATCAACTTATGTGTAAATCAGAAGGATTTAATAATCATTGATGTTACTTCTCTTCCAAGAGCTGCTTACCAGTGGTATCCTGCAGAACATGTATAGGAGTTTTTTTGTTTGTATTTAAATTGTGGTTAAAGAAAACATTTGCCATTTCAATAATCTTTTTTTTAAATTATTATTAAATTTTATTAGTTTTAGTGAACATTTACAGAGATTTTGGATTTTCATTCATTCATTGTTGCACTACTTCAGTAATCTTGACATAAATTAATGAGTCCATGACATCTTTGCTCAATTCTTCTTATACCATGCACTGAATGAAATAAAATATTTTTGCTCTTTACAAAGTGATGTGGTTTTTGTCGATCACCCTAAAATGATTCATACTCTTTAATCAGTGATACTTTTTCATTAAATAATATAATGGAATTCTTTTCTATAATTGATACAGTTATTATTTTATGAAGACATCATTAAGAGCATTAAGTATCTAAGTTCAGTATGCTTATGATCATCTATAGTTCTGCTGCTTAAGTCTTGCCATACAAAGTACAGAAGAGCAACTCTCAAGGGATCTGAGACCACACTCCAAAGCATCCTAACTGAAATACGGTGTTTGGATTCCTGTCTTGACTTAAATCTGCTTATTTTTATTCTGTGGTTTTCTTTCATTTCCATTTATTTCTTTATACCCTTGTTCAACATTTGGGAAGTTTTTTTGCCCATTTTATTCCCATGCTTTTAGCAAAGTAGCTTCATTTAAAAATATTTAAAAATATTTTTCGATTCTTTATATCTTTAAGTAGATCTGCCTCTTAAGCATTTCAAGAGACATTCATTAGATGCAATAATAGGTGTGATGGTCAATATGAATCTCAGATAAAGTATGTACAGAAAATAGGTAAAAAATGTAATTATAATATTTTAAAAACAAAAGATAACCATGTTGATATAAGATAAAGAATTTAGGAGATAATCCCCTGAAGAGTTCTAGAATTCTAGTAACCTATCAGGAAGAAAATATCTGGAGACTAAATGGATTCTTAATGCCTTTACTGAAGTATGCCAGAAATGTTACCTGTAAGCCAGTGGTTTCAGTCTGTAATTTACGCAATACAAATCCTCTTCCAATTTAAAATCTCAACTGTAAGCATCTAGAGACAGCAGCGTTGTCCCCTGTGATGCCCATTGTTGTCAGGACCAACCCAGTGGTAAGTGGGCAGGTTTGGTTTGCTTTTCTAGGTTATGTTTGCCCTCTGATTCCTGCCTTAGGTTCCAAGTCATAGTGACCCTTCATCCAATTTAATCATCAGGAAAGGAGACTGCCCATCGTGCCCTCCTAGATCCCACTGGTGGATTTGAACCACCGTAAAAGGTGGTCTTTGGGGACTATGCCATCAGAGCTTATGTATTAAATAGGATTATCTTATTATTGATAATTATAAATGAAAATGTAATACTTAAATGTAAAATGCATGTATAGGAGCTACTATATACACATTCAGGCACAAAGGAGCCAGAAGGAACACCATGGGATTGTCCTACTTCTTGGAGTCACAAGTTTTCTGTTTTGGCGTTTTTGAACCTTTAAATTGCAATAGGAAGAAACTGCCCATTTTCCCCCACAGAGTTACTGGTTTGGAGATGCGTACCGTTGTTTAATAGCACAACTCTGTAGACTATGCAAGATCTTAAAAAATATATTTGATGTAACCTTATTAATACAGGAACAGATCATACAAATAACATGGCACAGGACATCTTTTTCTGGCTCCACTTGAGGCCTGTAGGACACAGTAGGATCAGGTCTTGGATAGGGCATTTGGTCCAAATAGTAGTTTTACTTGAGTTTTGGTGCTGGTGTTTGCCCCAAAGTGGAAACTCACTCGGCTGTCTAACTACAACTTTCAGTATGGGTTATATCTCAATATCAAGAAAACAAAGGTCCTCACCTCTAGGCCAGGGGGCAACATCATCATGATAAATGGAGAAAGGATTGAAACGTAATGATTTCTTCCTGCTTGGATCCACAATCAACAATTTGTTAACAGCAATCTGGAGACATAATGTACTTAGTAAGTTCACTGTCAGGGACCTCGCCAGAATTCTGAAAGAGCAGTGATGTCTGTTGGTGCCATGCTCCTTCTCTTCAAAGGTGAACCTCACAAAAGAAGTTTCTTAATGTTTTGTGTTATGTTTTGGTTGGTTTGTTGGGGTTTTGGTTTGTTTTTTGTGGGTTTTGTTTGTTTCCGTCTTTCACCATTCTGTACATTCTAATAAATTTCTGTCCCAGGTACTCTCCTGAAATTTGGTCACATTTACCAGTGTTTTCCATATTGTCATATAATTATCAGTCCTCTATCAGCCTGTCCTCTCAGCAGTTACTTCATAAAGTTCACTAGACTCTGAAGTATTTTCTACATACTTTCCTAAACACTTCATGGTTGTCCTACTGTTTGACTTCCATTAGTTATCTAGACCTGATTTAGGCTGCCCTCTCTTAACTTCTGATTTCTATAAACAGGTGACTAACATAGGGAGCTCTGAAGGCTTAGCCTGTAGGGAGTTATGCTTGTAATCCAAAACCCACTCCTCTTTGACAATTTAAATTTGCCAGAGACAAAGATAGTAATTTCTTCCTAGGCCGTAGCTTTAAACCTTGTGGATGGTCAATTATGTGTTGGTTCAAGCGGAATGGCAATGAGTTTGAGTTTTAAGAACTCAGTTCTATAGATCTGAACCTATTGAACTCCGCCTTTGTATCCTTAACTTTCTAATTGACTTCCTTTCTTGGATATCTTGTAAATAGACATGTATCTTAAAGTACCTTAAAACTCATGTTTGTTTAAAAAAAAAAAACCCCAAACACAAAACCTCATGCCTGTTAAATATCAAAGTCTAAGAATCATCTTGAAATAACGTCCCTTAATCATCATCCTTTGCATCAGCAAGGGCTTTTCTTATCTTCTTTCCTCTTTTTCATTGATGCTACTATACGAAGTAGCCTTGCTGGCCCTTTGGGCAACATGCTAAAAATACGAAAGGTGAAATCGCTAAGGATTTAAATGCCTCTGGTGGGTAAGGGACCACACTCCCCACACTGCCAAAGGCAAGTGGTTCCATTCCACCAGTTGCTCCAAAGGAGAAAGATGGACAGTCTCTTCATGCTACTTACTGCATGAGAAAACCTACTAAAGGGGTCAGCAGTGAGTCGCTTTTAACTTGACAGCAGTGAACAACATCAAAGAGCTCTCTGACTGTACCTCTTCCAAGACAGATTTGTTTGTCCTTTTGGGCTGTTTATGAAAGGTCTGAAGTTCACATCCACGAGATGCTCTGCTGGAGAAAGATGTGCAGACTCCTATAAAAGTTTATAGCTTTGGAAACCCAGTGGAGGGTTACTAAGATTCAGAATTTATGTGGTGGCAGTGTGTCAAGCTCTTAACCACTATAGAGGGAAAAATGATTGAAAGCATTGTATCTCTGTTTTGGAGATGAGTAATTCTAATTAGAAGGGCTCATATTTGAGAAATGTTGAGCCTTATTTCTTGCCAAAATTGTCCCATGAACTTCCTCATCTCCTGTGCCCACAAATCAAAATCTTTGGTTTGACTCTTTAGGATGGAGAAAAGTCACTTGTAAGAAACCTTTAGGATCTCATTTAAGAGTTTATTTGTAATTTAACTTTTCTAGCTTAAGTAATAAATATGATTCTTGGTGATATGTTTGGATTACATTGATTTGAATATGAATTGTGTCATGCTATGGATTGTTAACCAAAAAGGCTGCAGTTCATAGAATCACCAAATACAAAGAAATCTTCCCTTTCTTAACCCTCTGAGAATGTTTAACTGCCTATCGAGAGAAACTTGGGTTGAAAGAATTCTATAGACTTACTGTAGAAGGAAACTCCTTATCATTTTTGCTTTGTTTTCCATTGGGGAATAATCCTAGAAGCTAACTTCTAAATTATTTACTTAACTAATTTAATTTTTCATTCTTGTACTTAATTATCACAAATTTGCCGCTAGAATGTCATCAGTATACTGTTAGGACTCAGTTGTTTTTATTTAACCTATTTATGTAATGCTGTTTTTCAGAGTATTGTAGAAATAGGAACATGGGGGGAAAACAATCTGGATAACATGAAAGTGATGCTTGTGGCTAAGGGAAGGCGACTTGATTCTGTGGGAAGGGCTATAGCTGATCCATCCGTTGTTCAGGTAAGCCAGCTTTTATTCCAAAGGCCTCATCTCATGAATTTTCAAATTTAAGTCAAAATTAAATTTATGATTTGTATCTTTCTTTCATTTGAGAATGACATCATTACATGAGTGATGTCTTTTTAAAACAGTGATTGTTATTGTTTGTTGTAATGTGCCGTGGAGTCGCTTACGACTCATAGCGACCCTATGTACAACAGCCCTAAACTCTGTCCTGTGCCATTCGCACTGTCTGATACACCCATCCCGTTTACCCCAGTCACTGAATCAATCCACTTCATAGAGGACCTTCCCCTCCTGTGCTGTTTACGTCATAAATTTTACTAAAGCACCAACTCTTTGCCAAAGAAAAATACATTTGCCTAGTTGATAAACATTCTTCTAATTGGTATAGCACTGGTCTGTCCATTGGCTGTTCAGAGGTAACTCGAGATTTCTGTGATGCTGAACACTGTTGAAACGAATGTGTCAAAATGCGATCATGGTTACCCATGATGGACAGTGTTTGGTGGAGTTCCCTGATTAAAACAAGCTTGGAAGCAGGAGTGGCATACATGTCTGAAGTGGCTTGCTTCCGGAAGCTATGAACCTGGAGAAACAAAGTGTTCAGGTCTTTGTTCATAGGGTCCCTATGCCACTTAACAACAAGTTGACAAATACATAAAAGAACTATATAAGATAGCATTTGTGAAAAGGGATCAAGATAAGATTTTGATGAGTTATCTTTGTTAACTTTGATAACAAAGTTATCTTTGATATTGTGAGCTAAAGAGTCATAAATTAGGACCCTTTTGGAATTTATCACAGTGCTATTGGGGGGGGGGGCCAAAAAGTGCTTTTTTTCTAGGTTAACTTCTTTCACTGAATGTGGTAAATATACCATTTTCTAAAAGTAAATGCTATATATTTTTAAATATTCACAGAAGCCAGATTATTTCCGAGAATGGCATTTAATTGTAATTAAAGAATATAACTAACATTGCAGTTTTGCAAAACCACTGTCAGTAGATACCCAAACAAATGTGCTACAATGTGAATGTATGTTTGTAGTTTAGATGCTAACAAGAAACTGGTTTATGTTTGTATCTGGAAATAATTTTGTAAGTGCTAATGTGAGATCTGTTATTATAGATTTGAGTATGAGCACAGTTGAAGAGGATTCTGACACAGTAACAGTAGAAACTGTGAACTCTGTGACTTTGACTCGGGACACGGAAGGAAACATCATTCTTCATTGTCCTCAGAATGGTAGGAGAAATTAGAAACTGTTAGGAATCTTTGAATTTTTAGTTTTATGTCATCTTTGATTCCTGCTACCCAAGTTTAAACTAATAGTTATGTGTTTGAATCATGGCTTAATTAATTTTTTGCTTATTTTTAAATTTACCGTAATTTTTAGGCATTATCAATTGCACAGCTATTTTACAATGGACAGTGCTGGGAAAATTATAATAAACTATTTTTATCTTGTTGTTGCTAGATGTATGCTTCAGCAAACCTTTGAGTAGTCCCAATAGAAATAGAAACTTTAAAAAAAAATTTGGTCAGAATTTGTGTTCAGAGGCTTTTACACAACTGTGAATAGATTTTAATGTGAGTGATCACCTGTTGTAAGTTAAAAGTCAATAAACTTGAAGTTGGTGATTTTCTTATTACTTCCCTACTTGCTCGTTGTTTTACTTACTTAGCTTTAAATTTCAGCTTTATTCAGCCTAAGCTGTCTTCTATTCTTTTTATTCTATAGTTCCTGTATTATTTCATTCAGACTTATGATTTAACTTCTACTTGCTTTTATTAAAATGACTCAGACTTCTGCTTTTGAACTCTTGTCTGCTTCTAATTAACCAAACCCAACCAACCTCTGCCATCACAGCAATTCAGTTTCTTAGCAACTCTACTAAGAGTATTACTATTTCATAGGGTTTTCTGAACTGTCAAGGATTTCTTTTTATTTGGATCCACACACAATCAGCAGTCAACACAAATGACGTTATATTGGGCAGATCTGCTGAATATCTCTTTAAAGTGTTAAAAAATAAAGATGTCACTCTAAGAACTAACTGAAGTGTGTCTGACCAGAGTCATGGTCTTTTCAGTGAGAGGCCTTCTGTCTGTCAAAATTGGACTGTGAATAAGGAAGCCTGAAGAGTTAGTGCCTTTGAATTTTGATGTTGGGGAAGAATATGAAATGCTTTGTGGACTGCCAGAACAACAAACAGATCTATCTTGGAAAAAGTACAGCCAGAACTCTCCTTAGAAGCCAGCATGGTGAGACTTCATGTTACCAAGACAGGTCAATCCCCAGAGAAGGACATCAGGCTTGGAAAAGTAAAGATTCCTTGAAAAAGAGGAAGACCTTCAAGGAGATGAATTGACAAGGTGGCTGCAACAATAGGCCAGAGCCTAGCAATGATTGTGTGGATGTCACAGGCTAGATGGTGCTTAATTCGCTTGTACAATTCATTCTCTTGGAACCAATTTATAGCACCTAAAAACGGTAAACTTTATAGGAGCAAAATTGAAAGATCTTTGAACCTCTGAACTTCTGGCTAGATGTTAAATGCCTAATCATTTTATCACTAGAGCTCCTTTCAGAACTCAGTGCTACTGCAGATAGTACTTCTACTGCCAGGCATCATTTTCCTAGCTTCTGTTCTTTTTCAGGATCAGGATATCTTCTCCAGAAAACCTTTTTTACATCTTTAGTTTACATTAAATACCTCCTCCTCTCTGTGTTCAAAACTACCACCTTTTTATACTTTCCTCACCATTTCTTCCTCTTTAGCTATCTCATTTGCAACATTGAGAGCTCCTTAAAAATCAAAGCATCTTTCACTATTCTGTTCTCAGTCCTTAGCAGGTAGTAAGTGTTCATTAAATATATGTAAATAACTCAGTAAACTATTAAACTAACCAGCCCTTGAATTTTCATATGAATTCTATGGATTAGACATAGAGTAAGCTATGTGATTTTGAATTCTTGTTGCACAAATGGGGTTAGTTTACTGAGCATATGGCCAAGACAGTTGTTCCAAAGTCATTACTAGTTGGAGATAATTGTGGGTGGGTTTTTTTCTGATTGGTTTAAAGTTCTTGAGATTGTTGTTTGGTGTTGTGTTTTATTTTGTTTCATTAGATGCTGATGAAATAGATTCAGAAGATAGTACTGAACCTCCACATAAAAGAATTTGTTTGTCTTCTGAGGATGATCAGAGTATTGATGATTCTACTCCTTGCATATCAGTTGTTGCACTTCCACGTAAGTTGTTCTGTCTTAGAATACAGAGTTGTCTTTTCAAGTTCAGTTCTAACTTGAGATTCTGTTGAATATGAGAGTTTTCATTTCATCATAGGCTGGGGTCAATTCATAGTCATAAACTCCTTTTACATACCAAAAACTCATTGTTCGGGTGGCTAAAAATCACACGAGAATTGTCCATCTTTGAGACCTACTGCTGGCAAGAAGCTGCACTGCAGTCCCAGAGATGTGCAGTTCGAATCCACAAGATGCTCCGCTGGAGAAGGAAGGACAATCACCTCCTGTACCAGTCAGATCCAATTTGACGGTACACACAAAAGAAACCTACTGCTGGATTGAAGCCACAAGAGAAGTACTGTATTTGAGTTAACAGCATAACTCTACAAACTATATCACCAGAGCTCCCTTCTTTTACACATAGTGCAACAACCAACCTTTTGGTCAGCAGCTTAAAACTGCACAATCTTGAGTCATAAAGATAGTAAGACCTGTTAGCTTACTCCATAAGAACTAATTTGCATGCTCTTGAGAAAGCATGCACTGAGGAGGTATGATTATTTTCTGTGTTTATAGATGCCATCAAGGACAAGAGATACATGATGTTGTAAGGTTCTGTTCATTCAATTGCAACTCACAATGTAGATCACTCAGTCTTTCTGTCATGAAGCCAGTGGGTGGGTTTGTGCCACCAGTGTTTCATTTAGCAGCTAAGTGCTTAAACATTGTCCATTAAGACTTCTTAAGAAATGTCGTAACTTGTCGGAAACCATACAGGAGTCTGGTTCCCATAGTTCATAGTCTTTTTTTTTTTTCATGTTTCAAAAGTATAATCTATTTAGAACAAATAATGTACAAAAAATTATGATCACAGTTAGTTACAGATGCAAAATAAGATCTAATTATATCAAACTTATGAAAAAAATCAAATTCCTATGCCAGTTCAAATATTATGTACAATTTAGATTAGCTAGTCAAGTATTGTCTGAATACACACCTTATTTCAGAAACCTAAAATTACATTACTTTAGTATTTGCAGGTACATGCCAATATGAAAAAAAATTAATTTCCATTTATGTACTGGGAAAAAAGTCAAGAATTTTTAGTGTGTACATTTCAGAGTGTAAAAAAGTTAAGATATATTTTCCTTTAAGAAGAAAAAAATAAATTAAAAATCAACTGCCAAAAGTTAACTTGGTAAAAGTTTAATGTTAACTTATAAAAATGAAAAACGGGGGAAATTCATTTTTTTGGAAATTACATAATTATTACATGGTCATCTTATTGATCTGAAACTACAGAAAGCATTTAAGGAAGGATGATATGTGAAAAATAAGACTAACCCACGGGATGATGAATGCTGCTTTAAAAATCTGATTTGCGAGGAGGGGTGGGAAGGGAGAAAATTGCGGCAATGAATGAATGGAAATCCAAAACCTCTGTTAAAAAAAAATTTAAAAAAAAAACAATTAATAAACACACAAAATATCTGATTTGCAGGAAAACTAGCGGCTTTTCCTAGCTTTAAAGCTAACTATAAAATCCATTTTCTTAATGGTCCAGACATCTTGACAATTTCTTCCAATTCAGCAGAACTTCCATCGATTTCCACATTCATTACAAACAACAAATGTTGTCATCGGTTCATCAGCACTACGGGTTTGGACCTGTGTATAAGTACAATTCTTCTTTTTGCATTTGCCACATGTGAATAAGTCAGTCTGGGTGCCACCTGTCTTGGCCATCTGATGCTCTCTTATGGCTTCTTTGGTAAGGTTTTTCCGCATCTCTTTAAGTTCATCACTAGCCATTTCCTCTGCTGTCATTCTAGCAAATAAGTCTGGAGGAATGTTTCCACACAGTACATTTTTTCTTAGATTTGGATTCTTTGCATCCTTAAGATTTGATATCCTACTTCGTACTCTATTTTTGTACTTCATGTCTGTATTCCTTATTTCTTGATATATAGCTTCCTCAATCTGAGATCCTAATTCTTCATCATCAGCTCCAATAGCAATGTAGTCATCTCCTGTTCGAAGAGCCGCAGCAAGCATCTCCCTACACTTTAGCCGTACAGAATCTGAAGTGCTTGGTGCCTGAGGAAAAGATGAAACATAAGTGTCTCGAGCATTTGTCTCATCCTTTCTGCTGCTCACATTGCCACTGGAACTACTTTCTTCTCTTGCTTCAGGGCTATTCTGTGATGTAATCATAGGCTCTTTTTTCTTTTCTTCAGAATCTTTATCAGTGGATGGCCCATCTAGTAACTTTTTCCAAGATTTGATGAGAGACTTTGCTAAAGATGTAACTTCTTCATCTGTACTCTGCTTTCGGATGGCATTAACTGACATTCCAATTCTTGTGGACTGTAATAATTCCAGGGTCATGGGAATATTCTTAAGCTCCTTCAGCAAATCCAATGCTCCAGCAGCACATAGTTCATAGTCTTAACCCCAATACTATACTGCTTCTTCATAAGATAAAGTTTATGTGAAAGTTAGTTAGAAGCTTGATTAAATTATTCTCATTAAGAAAGTTCTTAACACATTTCTATTCCAAGTCCACTTAGACAATTTTCTGGAGATTTCAAGTGGAAATACCATTAAGTCTACAAACAGCACTAACTATATGGTTAGATTACGTTTCTTATTTGTTTAGTAAATAATACAGAATCTTACTGAAGTGTAATAGTGACCTCAAAAAATTGCAGGAAATGTCTTAATTCTTAGTGGTAGAGATGGAGAATGACTATTGATGGCCCTCTCATGCACAGATTCAGGGTTTTGCTAGAAATTTTTTTTGTTCAGTGCCATCGAGTCAAGTATAACTCACAGCAACATAATGACTAATTAATTCATTTGCTTAAAATAGAGTAGTACCATGATCATGATTGTAGATTCAAATATTTGAAGTTGTATTCTGTTTTACTGAGTTAGATAGACCAAATACTTGATGTTCTCAATTTACTTAAGTTTACCTGGACTACATATGAGCTACTTGACACTGAAAAATAGCATTATCGTAGGACATTCTGGCATGCTTATACAAAGTTGGCTTCAAGTGTTTACATTTCCCTGAATTTATGAAAATTCTACTGATGAAAAATTAAAAAAACTTTCTACATTAGAAAGTAGGGGAAACCCCACTTGTGAAAGCCTGAAATTTGTCTTCATCACCTCAGACTGGTTCATGCCTTTATTGCTTTCACGGAGGTGAATGTTAGTCTAAAGATACAACTTTAAGTTCTACATTCTTGTTACATAATTTATAAAATTGATGTAATTGTTGAACTTTTAAATTTCTCTGAACACTCATCTTGAACTCAGTGACCACTTCTTATTGGGGTCACTACTTATCATCACCTTAATTCTATCCTTCTTCTCTATTGATAGTTCTTATTCTTCATGTTTATATTAGTTTATATAATTTCTAAATACCTTAGCCTTTTGTCCTTTGTATATTCCATGAACCTAATAAACCCCACTGCCAGGGCATCATTTCCATCTCAGGACAATTTTTGATCAGGTTTCCAAGGCTATAGATCTTTATGGGAGGACTCTATTCTTTCTCCTCGCGGAGCTACAGCATAAGCCAAGACATTGGTATCACTTTAAATTCCCAACTGTTAAATAAAGTGGAGGAGACCTGGTAATGATAGATTAAGCACTCTCCCTCTAACAAATAGGTCAGCATTTTGTATGCATGAGCCTCTCCACTGGAGAAAGATTAGGCAATCTGCTTCACAGCTTTAGAAACTCTGTGAGCTACTTCTCCTTTGTCCTGCAGGGTAGTATGAGTCAGAATCTTCAGGTAATTGCTAGGTTAAAGTGGATTTGTAACTGCCTACCAGTTCACACCATACTTTTTCTTCTAAAATGAAGTCATTAGCCCACTCTCTCCTCCAATATTTCTCCCTCCCTTTAGTGCAGAATACCTTGAAAGAGTTGCGTGCACCTGCTTCCATTTCTTTCCCCCATTATTAAACTCAAGTCAGTCTTTTCACCCCTATCACTTGGCAAACCTGTTTATCTCAGGTCTTTAGAGGTCTTATTAACCACTAGTCTTATCAGTAAGACAGTATTAATCTTTGAAAAAAGCATACTCTGAGGTAAATACTATTATCCTAGATTTGTTTATTTTTTACAATAATAGCCATCACTCTCCTATCTGAAACTTTTGTTTTCCTTTTCCGTACTTGGTTCCCTATGCAAATAACTCCTCAAAAAAGCACACTGAAGGGTCAGCACTGACTACCAACTCAGTGATATTTAGCAACAACTTGGTTTCTAGGAAACATAGTCCTTGGGGTTTCTATATATTTTTCTTTCCATTTCTTCTCAGACTCTTAACTGAATAGCTCTCTCTCTCAGATCTCTAAAGAAAAGCCCTGGAACACAATCCTTGGACTGCCTTTTCTTTTCAAATTCAGTCACCAGTTTTATTTCAATTTGTGTTTTTTAAATATTACCTCTATAATGATTCTCAGATTTATCCCACCTACAGGCTTCTCTAGATTGTTAGAAAATCAGAAGCCTCACCCTCCACTCTAAAATTGATTACACTTCTTAGCAACTTAGCCACACCTCATCAGGTTTTTGAGGCTGTAAATCTTTATGGGAAACATGACATTTTCTACTAGTGGATTTGAACTGTCTACCTTTTAGTTTGCAGTCTTATACATTACATTATACCACTGGGATTTCTTTCTCTACTTTAGAGACAAACAAAACTCCTTTTAGACTATGCCACTAGAACCTCCTCAAGTGGCTCTGTTGTTATTTGGTACCGTCAAGTTGGAAACAACTCATAGCTGACCATCCGATGGGTTTTCAGAGGCAGAAAATCTTGTGTGAGAAGACTGGCCATTTTTTCTCCCATGGAGCATCTGGTGGATTTCAACTGCAATCTTTGAGTTGGCGCTGCAACTCCTTTAGCACTGAGCAACAGTGTGTAGTGGCTGTAGGTGCATATAGGTCTCAGGGCAGACTGCAGGCCAAAAGTTTTAAAACAGAAATTGTTGATAACTTACTATAAATGTCAATCCATTTGAACAAAGTAGTGTTTGTCTTATTTGTCTCTAAAGTAGATAAATAAGACAAAGATAATTTCTCTCTTAGGGCTTAGAGGATTAATCTGAACTTTTTTCCCTCAGAAACAAGACAAAAAGCCATATAAGTAAGGAAAGACATTGTACCATAGTAGGTACCACAAGCCATGCTTGGAATTTAGCTCCTGAATCTCTAAATTCTTAAACTTACTTTTTCCATGATCTTCTAGTTAATGGCAAATCTATCTTTCCAGTAATTAAAATAAAATGAAAACTTTTATTCACTAGTTTTCCTCATCTATCAGAAAATCCTATTGGTTTAACCATCAAAATGAAGGATTTGAACTACTTACCTATCCTCTTACCTTCACCCTAGTCCAAATAAGTCACTGTCTCTTTCATCTGAATCGCTGCATCTTAATTGATCCCACTCTTAATTTTTGCTCATGCTCAAGTTCATATTGAAGTTGGAGGGAAAAGAAAAGTCCATTAGAACCAAAATACAATATTTGAGTCTAATCCAACTGAATTTTAAAACCTTCCTGAGAGCAGATTTGAGGCACTGTACGTTATAGATTGAATATCAGATGAGATATGGGATGGTATCAAGGGCATCATCCATGTAACAAAAGATTTTTTATAAAAAAGACCCAAAATGGATATAAGAAGAGATTGAAACTGACAGGCCAAAACAACAACAACAAAATGCTAAAATGAGAGAGACGGACAGATTTGTAAAGGACAGTTGAAGAGACAGAGTGTAACACAGAATGCTCAAACAGCAGGAGTTGGAAAACCAAAAGGGAAGGATACCTGGAGCTAAAAGAACTGGAGAACAAATTCAGGCCTCAAGTTGCAATACAGAAGTAGTCTTAGAAAATAGTGAATGATGCGGGAAACACTTTAAAAAAAGATAACAATACACAGAATTACCTGTACCATAAATAATTGATCAATATTGCATCATATCAGGAAGTAGCATATGTTCAAGAACCAGTGGTTATGAAGGAATTCAAGATGAACTGAAGGCATCAGCAAAAAACAAGGCTCCAGAAATTGATGGATTAACAAGTGTGAGCACAGCATATGCTGCTATGGATATGCTCAGTAGCTGCAGGTTTGCTGAAACCTAGTTTTACTCAAAATGGCTTGCCTAGTCATTGAGTTTGATTTTTGCCACATGGATGGGCAAGATCATAAATGGAATGTGTTAGTCTGTCCACAAAGGGATTGGCTAGTCTGTCATTAAATTGAGCAGATTTCACAGCAAAAAAAAAAAATTTTAAATCTCAACACTAACAAGAAAGAAGAAACAGAATGCCCCATATGTCCTTTAAGTCCCAAGATTACTACACCATTCAGATGAATTTGCAGTTGCAAAAGACAACCGGAGACCCAGGATGAAACAGCTGAATTGAGACTGATACCCCTTGGAGTCAGAACAAGAACCCAGTCTTGCTGGAGGACTCCGGGAAATGTTATAACTAACAGAACTAAGGGAACTTGGTCATGCTGAGGTAAGAAAAATGGTAATCCCAGAAATCTTAATTGTGCTTATATGGAACCCATACAAAGACTAGGAACAAACAGAACAAGGGAACACTATAGTGTTTAAAAGTCAAGAAAGGTATATTAGGGCTGTATCCTTTCTCTTCCCTATTCAGTCTGTATCCTGAGCATGACATTCGAGAAACTGGACTATATGAAGAACGATGGCTTCAGGATTGGCTCCACAACCTGCATTATGCAGATTGCACAGTCTTGCAGAAAGTGAAGACAGCTTGTAATACCTGCTGCAGAAGATTAAAAAACTGCAACCTTCAGTATACATCTCAGTATCAAGAATACAAAAATTCTTGCCACTAGGCGATGTAGTCAGAGACTTCCATTTTACTCAGATCCGCAAACAGCACTCATGGTAGCAGCAGTCAAGAAATCACATGGGATGCATTGGGAAAATCTGCTGTAAGGGACCCTCTAGAATACTAAAAGCAAAAATGTTAGTTTAAAGACTAAAGTGTGCCTGATCCAAGCAGTGGTATTTTCATGGCTTCATATGTATCTGAAAACTGGACAGTGAATAAGGATGACCAAAGGATAAATGCCTTCCTAACTCTATTCCAGTTTTTTTTTTTACCAATTTATATTTTTTTATTATTTATTT